GTTCACACAGTGTATGTTTGCAGCATATCTCTGCTCCTATAAACCCAGTTTACTGAGTTTGGGAACCCCATCCTGATGTCTAATCACTTTTCTTTTTTTTTTTTAATTTAATTTCATTTAATTTATTATCATCATCATCATTTATTTCCTATTTGACCAGAGGCAGACAGAGAGGGAGAGTGAGAAAGCAAGCTGCCAGGGCTGTGACTTGAACCATGGTTGGCCATTTGGGAGTCCAGTGCCTTTAACCACCACACCACCTGCTGGCCCCACCTGATCACTTTCAAAAGTCCCATCTTCGACACTATAATTAGATTACATATCTTTTTTGTTTGTTTTTTGGAGAGGTTTTTGTTATAGGGCGTGTGCACTCGCCAGAAAGACAGAGATAGAAAGCGAGAAATCACCCCCCAGGGGGTATGGCCACTCCACAATCCCTTCTCCATTCTCCTCTTGGGATCTTGGGCACACACACACACATGCCCGGCGTGAGTTTAAACCACCGGGTCCAGGACTCAAACCGTTGTCAACTACATGGGAGTCCAGTGACATAGCCATTACACCATCTGCTGGTCCCTAAAAAATTTAATTAATTTGTTATTTAGTTCACCAGAGAAAGAGAGAAAGCAAGCCACCAGTTTTGGAACTTGAACCGCAGTCGGCCATGTGGGAGTCCAGCACCTCAACTACATACCACCGCCGGCGCCAACATTAAGTCTTAAGACTCCAGAATAATCTCACTCTGTGGTGCATCCTGGATGCACTGGTGTGGGCTTGGACCCCCGCAGGCCTGGGCAGCCTTGCTCCCAGGGCTTCGCTGGGCTCAGTCCATGCTTCAGCTCTGTTTTGAGTCTTGTGCCTACAGTTGGCTCCCGTGCTGGCAATACAGAATAGTAGTTCTGCAGTTCTGGGGTCTTGAGGGGGGTCCTCCTACAGTTCCATCAGGCATTGCCCTTACAGGGATTCTCTCTGGCAGCTCCAACTCGGATTTCCACTTAACATTCCCCTAGTGAGAACTCTCTTTGGTTGCTCCTTCCCACATTTCTTGTAGGCATTGAATTTAAGTGGAGACTTCCACACCTTTTGATTTCTGCAAATGCATGCACTGGTTTGCAGAATGTGCTGTCTGCTGTCTGCACTTTGAAGTGGTGGTCCCGTGGCAGGTCAAGCCTTTGTGGGGGCTGCTTGAACTCCAGCAGGTGCTGAGGAACACTTACTAGAGAGTAGGGAGCAGAGTCCTTAGGTGGCACTGGTACCAGTCATGGTGCCAGCCAAGGGCACCAACCATGGGCCTGTCCTCTGAAACATTCTGCTCTCCTTGCCTCCGGGTCTGTGTTGGGAGGGGTAGCCTCGAAGGTTTCTGAAATGCCCTTGGGAAGTTTTCTGGACGAGTCCCATCTGGATCTTCTGTCAGCGCTAAACGTTTTTTCAGAATCTGACCAGTGTGTGAATTTTCGAGAATATTCCCTGTGCTTCCCTTTTAATGTTCAATTAAACCTTTAAGTCATCTTTTTGCTCTTCATTTTTACTGTAAGCTGCTAAAGGCACCCATACAGTTCCTTCTCTATTTTGCTTTGAGAATTCATTTGCCAAATCTTCATCACTCTTAAATTTAGCATTCCACAGTCTTAGGACACGAGCACGCTACAGCCAAATTCTTTATAGTGGTGTAACAAAGAAGGCCTTTTTTTCTAATTTCCAATAAACTTCATTTTAATCTTAGTTCTTATTAGAATGGCCTTATTTTTCTTTCTTTCTTTCTTTCTTTCCTTTTTTTTTTTTTTTTTTTTTTTTTTTTAGGGGGTGTGCTTTCCAGTTTTTTTTTTTTTTTGCTATAGGGCGTGTGCTTACCAGAGGGAGACAGAGAGGGAAAGTGAGAAATCACCTCCCAGGGCGGATGAAGGAATTCTCTTCTAGCTTCAGGGCATACTTGCATACATGCCTGGTGTGATTTTCAAGCCACTGGGTCTGGGACTCACATCGCATTCGGCTATGTGGGAGTTCAGCACCTTGACCACCACACCACACGCTGGCCCTGTTGTCCATATTTCTGTCAGTATCCTGGTTATGACCACTTACCCAGTCTCTCCACGGTCCAGAATTTCCCTAGTCTGCTCACGTTCTGACCTTCCACCAGAATCTAGCCTTGTTTTAAAAAACCTGCTCTTCCAAGTTCTTTGGTCTTTGTACTTTGCCCAGTTCCAAAGATACTTATTAGCGGCAATCATATTTCTGATACAAAGTTTCTGTTACAGCCTGTTTTGTTGCTAATAACAGCATTCTGGAGTCTGGGTCATTTATAAAAACAGGTTTAGGGACCAGCAGTTGTGGCTCTGGACTCTCTCAAGATCAACTGGAGTTCGAGTCCCGGACTTGGTGGCTTAAAACACACACTGGGTGCTTGTGTGTACATGTCCAAAATCCCGAGAGGAGTATGGAGAAGACGGGATTGCAGTGTGGCCATCCCCCCACAGGTGTTTTCTCCCTGTCTCTTCAGCAAACATACGTGACCTAAAGCAAAAAAAAGAAAAACTCATAAAAAAATAGAGGTTCATTCAGTGCATGACTTGGACATCCAAGGCTGAGGGCCGCAGCCGATGAGGGGCTTCTGGCTGCATCACAGCGAGGTGGAGAGCAGGGTGTGCTGAGTTCTGTGTCGCTCCTCCTTGTAGACCCCTGTCCTCGTGCCTAGCCCCTTCCCAAAGGCCCGCCTTTTTTCACCAGCTCCAACACAGGAACTTCGGAGGGGCACATTCGAACCGCAGGACAAGGGAATAAGTACAGTGAGTAAGTTAGCCCAGGTGTGTCTTAGCATCCTGCTGCTGCTTGGCTAATTCCCATGGAGTCCTTATGTCACTTGTGAGAAAAACAAGAGATCTGCAGTGCTCTTGTTTGTTTAGGTTATCCTGAGGGATTCGGATATATTGTGCTACTTGAATTAGGGGTATAAAGCAATAGAATTACTTTGATGTTAACTCAGAGATTTTTTTTCATTTTAGTACTTGTGACCTAAAGACCCTTGAAGAAATTTCCTTTCTTGGAGTTCATAAATTTAACTTTCTTTTTTGAGAGGTTTTTGCCATAGGGCACGTGCGCTCGCCAGCCAGACAGAGAGAGACGGAGAGGCAGAAAGCGAGAAATCACCCCCCGGCGGGATGGCCACGCCGGAATCCCTTCTCCTCCATTCTCCTCTCGGGATCTTGGGCATGCACGCACACGCGCCTGGCGTGAGTTTTAAGCCACCAGGTCCGGGACACGAACCGCGATCGACCACGTGGGAGTCCAGTGACATAGCCATTACGCTAACTGCTGGTCCCAACATTTTTGTTTTTAAAAGGAGAATGTACCCAGCTCGTTTCTCCATAGAGGCAAAGTGATGGTATAGCTCCTCCATATCATCATTGCTTCTTAAATGAGTGCTTTTCTTTTTTTTTATTTTTGCTATAAGGTGTGTGTGTTTGTCAGAGAGCTAGAGAGACACAAAGCAGGAAATCCCCCAGTGGGGATGGCCACACCGAAGTCCCTTCTCCTCCATTCTCCTCTCGGGATTTTGGGCAGCACCCACACTTGAAACCCCAGGTCCAGGACTTGGCCATGTGGGAGTCCAGCTGTGCACCCATTGTGCTGTCTGCTGGTCCCGAGTCTGTTTCTTAACGCGGACTGTGAGGAAGAAGAGATGACCAGACTTGCTCCTGCAGAGTCTGGGACTCTGTGACAAGGTGACTGTGCATACTTGGGTCTTTGGGCCTTGGCTTCCCCCCAGACTCCCATGTGCTAGTTCATGTATTTCATAGCTTAACTAGTACTTGCGAAGAAGCTAGGTAATAAGAAATGGCAGTTAAATTTTATGTGGAAAGGGATAATTGGGCATAAAACATTTAAGGCATATACTTCTTGAGTGTAAATCCACAGGTTTCAAGATAGCTTTCTCTTGAAGTCATCTGTCTAAAGCTCGTTTTTTCCCTCATAGTTGTTTATTGAATCAGGTACCATTCTGGAGCTGGGGACACCAAGTTATGACAGATTTTCTTCTATGGTAGGATATTCTAGAAATAGGATTTTTAAAAACCTGTGGGTGTTTGACGGATTCTCCTCTATTTCTGTAGTTCTGTCTTGATGTATAGAAGTATTGATTTCTTGGATTAGAATCAGTTTTTTGCTTTCTGAGATTTCTTCTAAAGGAAGATTTAAAAATGCTGCTTTCATTAATACGATTACCAAGAAAAGTAATGAGTTTTCTTAAAACACCCAGTTGCCTGTAAAATACCTGTTGGGGTATTGTTGATTGCTGTTATATTGACTAAGTGTTAGAAACAAATGTCCATATTTTTTTTTTAAGAATTATTTTATTTAACTTTATTTAATATTATTATCACTATTATTTTCCAGTTTGATCAGAGAGAGACAGAGAAAGAGAGAGGAAGTGAGAAAGCAAGCCACCAGGTCCGAGACTTGAACCGTGGTCGGCCATGTGGGAGTCCAGCGCCTTTAACCACCATGCCACTTGCCAGCTCCCACAAATGTCCATATTAAATAGCTGTCAAAATATTTTTTAAAGTAGGGAACCAGCAATTAGCGTAATGGCTATGTTGCTGGATTTCCACGTAGTCGACTGCAGTTCGCATCCTGGACCCGGTGGCTTAGAACTCACGCCAGGCGCGTGTGCGTGCACGCCCAAAATCCCGAGAGGAGAATGGAGGAGAAGGGATTGTGGTGTGACCATCCCCCCTGGGGGATGATTTCTCGCTTTCTGTCTCACTGTCTCTGTCTGTCTGACGAGCGCACAGGCCCTATAGCAAAAACCTCTCCAAAAAAAAATATTTTTTAAAGTAAGCTTTGTCTAACAGGAAGGAGAACATGTGGATCTAATAGCAAATTTGTCTCAAAGCAAGTTAGACGGCATCATCTTCCCCTTTGAAAATTCCATCCTGAACTGTGACCGGATGTCCTCTGAACAGATTTTCTGTGTTGTAGGGA